GTAAGCACCCATTCAACCGTCCTTGGGGGCATTAATTGCACCGCCTCCTGAAGAGTGGGCCTGAGAGGCGGCAAGGGGGTGCGCCTGCACCCTGGTTGGCACCTCTTCGCACCGCCTTCACCAAGTGGGCTCTTGGGTGGACCTGGACCCCTACCACGCTAGTGTTCTGCCCATAAATGGAGTTGGATGGGCTGTCTTGGGCTTTGCTTTGTGTTTTGCTTGAATACGTCTTCTTGGTTGCGCATTTTAGTGTGTTTTCACGTGTTGCCTCTGCAAAACATCTATGTACCAAAACTCAAGAATGTTAGTTAAAAGCCCTATTCCTAAGTTTTAGTTTTCATATTTGTTAATTTCGTGTAAATGTTGGCGATATAAATATGAGTTAAGCATCGCCAACAATATGCCAGGTTCTTCCTCTTCATCTCCTTGCCATCAACGGTGGTGATGAGTTCTTCTAGAGGCGCTTTGGAGTTGCCTGTGAGATGCCCTTAGAGGCGAGGACCCCGAATAGCTACCCTAACTTGGGCTTTCCAAAGAACATGGTTGGTCTTGGTGAGTTTCTCTGATGAGTGGTTTGCTGTCATCGATGAGGAACTTGCCATGGCGATTTGCTTGAGGTGAGATCAAATCTATGAAATAGCTCTGAATACCATGTGAAAGTTCAGAGGCACAGATAGGAGAACACCATGCCTGGTCTTGGGTTCTTGGTGTGTGCGTGTTAATTTTGTAGCACATATATATATATTACTGGCCAGAGCTCCTTGAGATAGCCACAAGATGTTTGTTACACATAATATATCTATCAACAACTGACTCTATCATCTTGTGGTCTTATCATCTAATTAAGGTTGTTGCCCTGACACATACACACACGTATACAAGTTTATCCTTTAACACGGTCAGCTCTTTTGGGTGCTGCTAATTTGTTCTGCAAATGTGTATTTCTTGATTAGAGTTTGGTCTATTGCCTAAGTACTTTGGATTGTGTTGTGCTTCAATTCTTGCTCGTTTTGCTTCAGCGATACTTTAAGCAATTCCTAATCATTCTGATCATCATCACAAGTCGGCATGTGTGACCTTGACAATTCAAAGAGATGTTTGTTTGATTAAAATTAAGGTTTAGGCCAAATTCTTGCTGCGAATTTTTATCGGCTTCTATTCACTGCCTCTAGTCACAGTTTTGGACCTTGAATACATAACTCAAACATTAAAGAACACTCAAGAATCATCTCAAGTTTGATTTGGCTATACTCAACACCGATGCAGTTGGTCTAAAAACTTCCGTCTGCTGAAACCATCTACTTTCAGAGAGTTATTGAGATAAGGGTTGTTTCCCATCCTTTGATGGGAGGGGGTTGTTTTTTGGGGAATACAAAATTTGTTTTGCTCATTTGTGTGGAGATTGTCCTATGGTAGAGGCCATCAGAATTATAATCACAGATTAATTACTTTAGGTTATTGGATGCATCTAAAACTTGCTCAAATGAACTAGAATGTCACTTCGTGTAATTTAAGTGATGGTAGAAAAAAAAAAGAGAATGGCATTTTGCCATATTTAGTAAGCTAAAAACACTATTGAGTATCCACTTGCATCATCCTTAATCATATTTATAGCGATAATAGTTTTTTCTTGTTGGAGGATGTATTCTCCTTATACTGTACAATGCTTTTACTAGACAATCTTGTTTTTAAAATACCTCCAATAAACAAGTTGGGCTTTTGATTAACAAGCAAACAGGTCCTTCCTGGTCTTGGGCCGTTTGACGTGGTGTTGCCCATTCATGGGCTTGTTTGTTCATCCATTGCCTCTGCCACTGCAAAGTAGTTTGACTTGCCCAGATGATATACTAATACAAAATTAATTTAAGAGATATTCTCTCTGATTAAAAGATGCGGACACATCTTGGTACCGCGTTCGTAAATGGCCAGGTGGACTTTAGGTAAATGTCCACCTTCATTGGTCATCGATTAAAGAGGCACCCGCCTTAGGACATCTATCTCTATAAATCAATTTTTAAAGACGGACATCTTCACTATTAATAGAAGTGGTCATTCTAAGCATCTGTCTCTAAAAATAGTTGTATCTAAAAATAATTAATATTTTTTCATATGAACTCGAAGGTAGACGAACCTTTTATTAAAATTGTAGCCCTCCACGCGATCTACAACTTTTTAGTTGAGAAGTTTTTATTTAAAATTGTTTAGATTTCCAAAAATGTTGTTTTAAGCTCTCAGATTTTTAAATTTTAATTTTTTAAGCAACCTTGGATGTTGCCATTGTAAGACGGTATATAGAAAAGTTGTAGTTATCAATACAATGTTCAATTATGTAGTCAAAATGTTTTTTATTTGAAGTTGTTTTAAAGTCTCAAGTACTTTTTTTAAGTTCTTACATTTAGAAAATTAAAAGTTATAATTTCCAAACCACCTTGAATGTTTACATGGTTAATACCAAAGTTGTAGTGATAGAACCAATCTACAAGTTTGATCTAGATAAGTTTTTTATTTAAAGTTGTTTAGAGTCTTATATATTTGTTTTAAATTGACATATTTTGATATTCAAATTTTTGAAATTTTCTAACAATTTCGGATGGAGACAAATCCTATATCAAAGTTGTAGTGTTCGACATGATTTAAAACCTTATAGTTGATTTTTTTTCATTTTAAATGTTTTAGGGAGCTAAATAAGCAATAGCAAAATGTGAAGGTAGTAATCATTGCCGTGCGGGAGAATAGCGCACGCCAAGCAACAGCAAAACATTCCTTTTTTCATGGAGCTAGTAATCATTGCTGCGCGGGAGATATGGAAGATAAGAAATGATCAGTGGCCAAGTCCACGTCAATATTTGGTTTGCAAATTTCAAAAACCAATGTCTGCTTGAGTCGCTTCGTTTTAAGGATGATCTAAGATTAGCCTTTTGTTTTTGGCTACATGCTTACAGTTAATTCCTGTTGTAAGTTTCTATTGTTTACCCTTAAATTATAAAATGAAGTGGTGTGGGGATCTTCTCCACAGTTTTTGCCTTCAAAAAAATTGTTGATAAAAAAGGTAGTTGTCTACATATAATCACAAATGAGTGTGTAATCCAGCAGTAGAGAAGTATTTTCGGGTTTTTCTCGAAACCATTAACATGCAGGCATGAGGTGCCTGTCTCTATTAATTGATTTATAGACATGGGCATCCATTGTGTAGTAATCCCTGTCTCGATCGTTTGCGTTGGGGTGTAGATGAACAAATCCAGATATTTTGCCAGAGAAAATTAGGAAAACGTGTATCGTCAAGAAAAAAAAACTAGAGAATCCTTTGAGAGTTACCGTGGGAACATTTGGAGAACTGTAAAAAACATCGGGTGAATAAAAGTAGACGTTAGTACTCAGTTGGGATCTAGGAGTAACAGTTTGATGAATACTAGTACAGCCCTGAACGACACCGTTGGCAGTCCAGTCCAGTAAATTACCAGTCCAAAGTCCAAACGTACTGACAATCTTACAAGCTCGGTAATAATGTATCCATGGAACGAGGATCAAGAAGATACTACCGTGCAAGGCGTGCACTACAGGTGAAGCGACGCGGTTCATTTGACTAGCAAGAAGAGATCACATGCATTGTTTTACATCGACAGGAATTGGATAATGATGTTGACCAGTCAGCAGCATTCAATAATATGTATCACAAAGAAAATGAGATTTTGAAAAATGACAGTTACCATAAAACTAATTCGATCATATGTACACTATTGCTAAAGTTTCAGCTAAGTAAGAATGGACTCCTAGACTCTTGATGCACTACCTCTATCTCTTAATAAATCAACTTTTAGTGTTGTTTTAAGTTAAAATATTTTAATGTTTGACCTAATTTATAAGAAAAGACAAAAAATATTTATGAGTCCAAATTAACGAGCACATTATAAAAATATATTTATGATGTATGCTATTTTCTATAAATTCTGTTAAACTTCAAAATCTTTAACTTATGATAATTCTAGGAATTAATTTATTTAGAGTTGAGGGAAGTATTCGTCTAATTTTGATCATGAACATTGGGAGCGCATAAATAAGGTGCCATCAAAACCACTGATTCTGAACTTATTTTTGGTGGTGTTCTGAGTGACATAGTGGCAATTATTCATGAGTTATATAAGTTCAACTGGAAGTTTAAGAAAAATATTGACAACCACGAAAAGTTACTGCCATGTCACAAGAAAACCAGCAGCTGGCTTTAGAAGAAAAAAAAAGACAAATCAAATAATGGCTGATGACAGAATTTGCATTTAATACCATAACATTACGAAGCATTAGGGTGCGTTTAGATCCAAAAATTTTTGGGTTTTGACTACTGTAGCATTTTCGTTTGTATTTGGCAATTAGTGTCTAATTATGGACTAATTAGGTTCGAAAGTTTCGTCTCGCGATTTCTCGTCCAACTGTGCAATTAGTTTTTTTTTATCTACATTTAGTACTCCATGTATGTGCCGCAAGATTCGATGATGGGTACTACGTAAAATTTTTTGGCAACTAAACAGGCCCTTAGTCAAGCAAGAATAAAACGACATTTCTCGTAGATCTTATCCTGACTCTGCTGAAAACAGAAGGGACTGATTTGTGACTCAAGCAGCAAAACTCTTTCAGAAGAGAACTCGAAGGCAAGCTTGACTTTTGTATACCTAACATTTAATTCTTCCCTAGTTCTTGTGTTCCAAGGAACTGTTAATATAACTACTTGAAGACCTCAAACTAGATTTCCATGAAGCATCATTTCCAACCTGAGAACACAGGTGTATCATGGCAAACCGTCACATTGGCAGCCTTCTGCAATATAACCGGCACATTTGACGGAAGCCAGCTTTCACTCCCTACTCCATGCTCATAACAATCCGCCTTTCCAGAATTGGTGACTGGTAAATCTTGGGAGAGATAATACAAGTTCCCACGACCACCGTAGATCTCAGACGTTGTGTCATCCTCAACGCCATAGCCACTGGCTGCAAGATTGCCGTCCACTAGTGTGGCAACCGGCATGGCATAGCCAAACCCCATGGTTCCGTGGTAACCAATGCAATGCCCCTATCATACAACAATGAATTGGTGTCAACTGACAAGGATGGAACATCAACCGCACCTGCCACATCCTGGACTTGCGATGGCTGGAAAAAATTGTGGGTTCCAGCGGAGGCAGGTATGTGCTGAAGCTGGTGCAGATTGTGTGCTGCCGAAACAACCGCACCATCCAGCTCTTCCTTGCACCACAGCTTGGAGTGGCCACGGCCTTTGCTATATTGCAAGGAAATTGGCACCATGGCAGCCGGCGACCAGCCACTGTAACCACAGTGCTCGGGACCATAGCTGCCAATGCCATCAGTGAGCAGGTTTGTAGCAGTCATCGGTCCGGCAACCTCAGCACAATTGCCGTTCACATCTATGTCAGATTGATCGGTTCCATCCTTTGGACGCTTCGTGGTGCTGCCAACTGGCAGGGAGCTGCTCTCGATAATGCTCTTGACGTCGTACCGGCTCATGTCAAAGTTTGTGACGGCATTGAGGCCTCTGAATTTGATTGCAGCGATGTCATAAGCCTCAGCGGCTTCTTCCTGGGTACCTACATATAGGTCAGCCACATGACATGTGGTATTATATATTCATATTCAAGAGGGAAATTGAAGAATTCAAAAGGCTTTCCGCCAGCATTAGCCTTAGGCTTTTTGTTCTTGCTTCCATTTCCCATGGCAAAAAGGAGAGCAGTGCATTAAAATATTAGTTGCGACTTACTGAATGTGCCTAAATACAGATCCTTGTTTCCTGCAACTCTTCCTATTCTTGCTTGCCACCTTCCATGCTGGTGGTGCCTGTTTCACAAGTACACTTGACAGTCAGAAACGCAATTGCATGTCTACTTGTCAAGGACAGAAGAAGGTCAAAGTTAACAGTACGTGGTAAACGAAGTACTACATCTATTGAGGATAGAAGTGATACAGATAAATGCAAATTCAAATAATGCTCCAAATACAGAAGCTCAGATGTTAATAAGGAATGAGAATAATTTACACCTGGTAACCCCTCGGTAAATTGATGCACCACGAGAAAATCCACTGCTTTTCCTGTATAACAATATATATTATGTCAGTCCATTTGCAAATGAGTTGATTTCTAGTTCATAAATAACATAGAAATTAACATGAAATTTTAATTTTGACCACGTGCCTTCTAAGCGATGCAACATATTCTTGTCGTGACATATGCTTCATCTCTTCCAGTTCTTTTTCATAGTTGCTCATCTAAGCATGAAAAAGAAATCATATGATATCCAAAATATGCGGTAAAGGGAAAAGTATAAATCTAGAGAAGTAACAGGATATAAGTAAATACTGGAAAATTTGTAGTTGTTGTAGTGCCCCAGTACTTGAGAGCAGCTAAATCGTAAGCCTTGGCAGCTTTCTCTTCTTTATCATATCCACCTTGAATGCATGAATCCATATTTAGATACACCCAAACAAGAACATATGTACTATTCATTGCAATTCGACATAAATATTTCTTACCTAGATATACTGAATTAAATGAGTCCATGGATTGTGATTACCAATGAGGAAAAAATCTAGGTTAGCTCAGGAAAATCAAAACCTTTATAAAACAATATGGACATATGATGGAACGTAGTAATTTATTTAAATGCTTTACCTTGTCTACCTTTGCGAGTCTGACCTTCCCTTCTGCAGCTATTGTCCCAAAGATGGGCTTCATACCTTCCTGTCCATCTATGCCTATTGAGAACAAAACAAACAAAAAATGATGTAAAAATATTCTGCAAAAAGGATGAAGAAACATGACAATCGGTATGACAACGTTGGAAAATATATACATGTCATTACTACAGATTTAGTGCCCTTTGATAAAGAAACTAGCAAGAAGTGGTGATTGGAAAGAATAAAAATCACAACTAACAATACTTTTTTACCATATGCAACTTGTGATTTAGTCATTAAAATCAAGAAGGTTCCTCAACATAATGATTTTTATTTTTGACAAAAAAACGATTTGATCCATCCAGTCGAACTGAAAGAGGAAGAACACGCGGTAAAACCCATAAATAGCGTGACACCTTGTACGAATGATCAGTGAAGAATAGATACAACAATCTAGCAAAAATAAAAACATCGTCATGGGTTCATCCAAAATAGACGGGATGAATCAGAAGGAGAGCAGAGCACAGGCTTCGGTGCATCCAAAACAGGGAGGAATGTGTGTTTTGAAACAGCACAAGACTGTTCATAAGATTATTAAACTTAGCAACAAGAGTAGAGTCGATGTCCTCTTATAATAATTTACAAAAGCACGCATTCCTGAAGCAATATAACAATAACAAATTCCAAAGCTGAAGAAACAATCTACTGATGACAAGGGAAAAAGGAATTTGTCAATCCGATCCGAATGAAGCTAGAAACGCCACAAGAATCAAAGCAAAGGGGCCCAGCACCAGCAACTGGTATCACATGCATCTAGACAGAAATCAAAAGCAGCAATACCATTCTAAGAGATTATTACCAAGTAGCAGGAAAACAGAAACACGAAGAGCTTTTATGAGAAACAAAATCAAGAACGAACTTTGTGACGCCGCGATAAATAGACGTCCGCTGCCCGAATGTGTCCACCGAGGCCTTCCTCTGCTGCGCAGTGTCCACCAAAACGGTGCCACCGCTCTCCCCGCCGTCGACCACCTTCCTGCTCCCCTCAGGCGACGACGTCGCCGTCGTCGCCAGCGCCATGGAGTCGACCCCCGCAGGTGCCGGCGCCGGCTGGCTGCGCTGCCAGTTCTTGATCATGGACAGCCCGATAGAGCTTGCGCCGCTCCCGGCGGCGAACGGCCTAGCGGCCACCGGAGCCGTCGGCTCCTGCAAGCCGAGGAAGTCTTCCAGCTTTGGTGCCTCGGCATCTTCCTCGCCTTGGGGCGGCAGCGGGTGCAGGACGGCGTCGGCGGCGCCGGAGAACGAGGCGAAGCCCAGCCAGTTGTTGGTGGAACCCATCTTGGAACCCAGTAGCACTACTGCTGATCCTAGGGAAGAGAGATAGGAGAGAGGTGGCTGTTGTAGTCTTTATGGCCTGCAGCAAGCCCTACTGCCCTAGATAGACTCTTCCTGTCTAGTCTTGCAGCCTAGGGGTCCGCTGCTGTTGTCACGGCGTACAGAGAGAGGAAAGGAAAGGCTAGGGATTGCGAATTAATAAATGTGCTTTGGTGCGTGATTAGGACAATCCCAACAAAACAAACTAGTATTTTCTATAATATAGAATATCGCACTAAAAAAATACTGCTTTCTAACTCATAATTTCTATGAGTAATAATTATTTTTTCTTTCTCTCTCTCAACTCTATCTTCTTCCTTCAATGGGAGTGTGGCACGAGCCCCCCTAGAAAATGGTGGTTTCTCCTCAATGGCGATTTTATGGTTTTTTTGTGCATTGGGTCGAGAAAAGACCTGATTTTTCACGGGAAAACCATTTCTATGATTTTTGCTCTCTTTCTTTATTAATTATGTTGCCATGTCAACATTTTAGCTACGTGACAAGTTATTTAATAAGGATACTCATCAGGGGTCGTCACCAGAGAGAGAAAGAGCGGAGAGGAGTCAGAACTCGAGGAGTGAGACTACTTGCTCTCTTCATGGGAAGACGCGACGTGAGCATGCGTATGAACGGGACGCACGTACGAGCGGGCGTGTGTAATTATGACGCGCTGCTTCGATTAGATTGCACTGCATGCGTGCTTTGACCGGGCGTAACCACGGTAGGATAGGGTTAATCTGCCAGTTAACCGCGTGAGTTACCAGTGGCCCGGCCGGGTTATTAGGTTTGAAGCCTTGAGCTGCTTTCCGCGGCCAAAGGCTGCGACTCTCGGGATTCAAGGGGCCCCGGCGGGCCGGCGCGCAGTCCGCGGGGACGCGTAGTTGGCTGCCACCGCTCCCGCCTGCGTATGAGTGAGCAGCGTCCAAAAGATGCGGTGGCGCAATCCAACTTTGGCTTTTGTTCGGAATTTCCTACCTCGTTTTTTCTGGCCTGTTCGTTGCGGCTGCAGGATCTTTAGATCATGTAACAGTATTTGATGCTAAGAAAAGAGCTGTAGGCAGCTGCAGCTTAAAGCCGCAAATATGGACAATGTTTGATTTTGCTTCCTCGGTCCTACACATGCCTCATGCACATCTCTAGTCCCCGATGACGTTTGACCGCTAGCCTATAGAAAGCAAGAGATAGTTTTTGATTAAGCTCGGTTTGATCTCATGTTTAAAGTTTAGCGGTACTAAATTTAAGTTCTCTTGAGGTTTCCAACAAATAGTTTAAAATATTGTTTAAAGTTAAGTAAGTATTAAAAAAAGTTATTTGTTCATTAGACCATACAGGTATACTAAAGTGGTCTAAGTGTAGTAGCTAACTAAATTTACTATGGATCGAATCACGGCCTAATTGGATGTTTTATGAAGCCATCTTTGTAAAGGTCAGGTGAGATTCATGTAAACGCTCGTTCATCATTTTTAGATGTGAGCATTTAAGAACATGTACAATAATAATCTTATAATTAAGCTAGTCAGCATTTTTGCTGATGTGGAGAAGAGAAGAACTTGGCTCTAGAGCAAGTATCATAGTCATTGGCTCAATTTGGTCATTTGTCATAACCACAGTTGAGCTAGATGCTATTATGAATGGAAAGGATGGATACCTATAGGCCTTTGCACATTGACACCATTCACTAATTTTCCTTATTGGAGTGCTAGAATAGCTTACTACCTTGGTAGACCTAGGTGTTTGGAGATTCACTAGCGAAGGGATGAAATCTCTAAAGAATCCAAAAAAAAAACCATTGTAACATACTGCATTTTTTGTGTAATACAAAAAGACCAACTTTTTAAAATTTTTGCCTGAATGTGTCTTGCATGTAAATGTTAGGTCAACATAAGTCAAAATTTTTTCCTTCTCCTCCCTGATTTCAAAATTAGGATTTCAAATTTGTTTTGCTACAACTACGTTGTTATGGTGTTGACCAAGTCAATACCACGACAAAGGCGTTTTCAAAGAAAATGTTTTCTGAAGAAATTAAAAGTAGGGTTGAATTAGAGCCCGCACCCGAATTCAACATGCAACCATCATCACACATGTTTCTATTACTAGATAAATACCTATGCGTTGCACCGGGAAAACATAGTGCCCTACTAACATTGGGAAAAAAACTAAATTGTGGTGAAAAAGTGAATTATATATGCATGGGTGACACTCAATTGGCACCACAAAAATACACTCAACCCAAAAAATTCCATTCAAATTCAACTTTGGTTGTTCTTTTGCCGCATCATACATGTCCTATTCAAAGAAAATGTTTTCCGAAGAAATTAAAAGTAGGGTTGAATTAGAGCCCGCACCCGAATTCAACATGCAACCATCATCACACATGTTTCTATTACTAGATAAATACAAATGCGTTCACCGGGAAAACTCGTGGAGAATTTTAGTTAAAAGCCCTATTCCTAAGTTTTGGTTTTCATATTTGTTAGTTTCGTTTAAACGTTGGCGGTATAAATACGAGTTAAGCATCGCCAACAATATGCTAGGTTCTTCCTCTTCATCTCCTTGCCGTCAACGGTGGTGATGAGTTCTTCTGGAGGCGCTTTGGAGTTGCCCGTGAGATGCCCTTAGAGGCGAGGACCTCGAAAAGCTACCCTAACTTGGGCTTTCCAAAGAACATGGTTGGTCTTGGTGAGTTTCTCTGATACTGGATGGCTCGAGAGTGGTTTGCTGTCATCGATGAGGAACTTGCCATGGCGATTTGCTTGTCACACCCGATTTTAAGGATAAAATGGGATGCATAATCTTATGTGCCCCAAAGATCAGTCATACACATAAGCCGATAAATTATAAATAGTATCATCACAAGTGTTTATTACATCACGAATAATAAGACAGAGTCTTCACATAAATGTAGCGGAAGTATAAAGAAAAAATCTCTCGCGGAAGCTTCATATGACAGGGACGTCAACTGGTTGACCACAAGTCTAGTAACCCTCAGGAAAGTCATCATTACCATAGCCATCTGTTACCCATCCGGGATTTTTGTCTAAATAATGAAAATAAACAAGTGTAAGTACATATCGTACTCAACAAGAGTAACATGGGGTTCATGAGGCTCAAAAGACTTGACACAGATTTAACAACATTCATCTTTTCATTGTCTCAATTTAAGCATAAGAGTAGCAACAAGTTGTTTTAATCCCAAAGTAAAACTCATGATCAATGTAAACATGAATAATGAATAGCATAAACAGATAATTCTTAGTGATCATCTATTCCATAAATGTTCCAAGGCCGTTCGTGATCGTGAGCACGGCTGATATACCAGTTTTACACTCTGCAGAGGTTGTACACTTTCACTGTGAGTCATGATACCCATATGCCCGGTTTTATAACTCCCAAAACACTTCCAAGGTGAGAAGGCAGGGGTCACTTTGAAGCCTTTCAAAGGTTCGTCTAACAATTTAGGGCCGCTAGGTTTCTGTACCCTACAAATGTAGGGCTCCCCTTCCGACAGGCACAATGACACGCAGCCTATACACTAACGGACAGAGACCGCACTATATCCAACCCGAAACACACCCCTCTTGCGCCATAAAGGTAACCTCTAACAACCTAGAAAAGTCCTCATACTGAGCTAAAACTAGAGCCATGTAGCCCTCACAGTTGTACTGTAAGTCTCGGATGATCACTTACAGATAAGTCCTTAGGGAGAAGAATCTGAAGCATTTAGAAAGTAGCTAAATACTCCAGCCCCATGTTTCCAAGTTGCTAAAAAAGTCATGTTTTAATGTTTATTGCATATACCATTAATCAAGTTACAAGATCATGGTTTAGTTGAGCACTGGCAAAGCTACCCAATGCATATCCCATAGGAGACAAGGTATAAGTTTAATTCTAGGAAAATCCTTATCAAGGTGACACATACAATCATGAATTAAATGTATTAAGGTGAATAGGAAATAAGAATGATCCCATGCTATACTTGCCTTGAACAAAGTGCTCCTGCTAATCCTGCTCATCAAAGTAGTACTCTTGGTAACCCACGAATTGCTCACCGTCTATACTCGATAATCACAGCAACATACAAGCATTCAGAAGCAATCATGCATAGCAAACAAAGGCTATAGATTAGAACAGTACATCAATCAGCATAAAATCAAGATGAAAAGTTTGTAAAACGAATCTACGTCTTGCTACGATCACACAGACGCGAAGATCACAAAAATCGGAGCTAAAACGAAGAAGTTATGAATTAAACAAGATTTCCTTTAGTAAATTAATAGATTAAATCTAACCTTGAATTTTAAAAGTTGAAAACATACTTAACAATAGTATGAACATGTAAATTACTTAATTACGAACCTAACGCAACTTGAACGGATCAAATCGGAGTTAAAACGGAGATTTTATGGCTTAAACATGATTAGTGGCAAAACTATAAATAGATGAAAACATATTTTGAATCTAATATGAAGAAAACTACGCTTTCTGAAGAAGAAAACATATTCTGGATTTACACGTTGGGCTGCGGGTTCTATAATAAAAAAACCCGAGGGGTTCTTTAGAAAAATACAAGGACGACAGGTTGAGATTTAAATAGTTGTAATGGCCTTTTTGTAAAAACGACCGGCGAAGGGGTATCGGGTGATACCGGCCGTTGGATCAAGATCGGATGGCACATAATAGATCGGGCGGGAAAAAAACAAAGCCGGCTAGCCGGCGGCGACACCGACGGCGGCGCCATGGCCAGAGGCGGGCGGCACGCAAGAAACATGGCCTACGGACCACCATTGAGCGAATCAAGGGCATGGAGAGAGAGAGAGAGAGAGAGAGAGATGACGACGGACTCTCCGAAGGGCTTTTCGCGAATGAAGGTGGGACTGCGGCGGCGTGAGGTTCGGCGAAGCGGACGGCATTGGCGGCGGCGCGAGCTGCTAGGGTTTCGCGGCGGCGCGAGCAAAAGCGAGGGTGGCGGCTGACGTTATAGGATTTGGTGAGGCGGCGCAGTGCGGGCCGGCTTATATGAGGGCCAGAGGCGTGGGGTGCACGCCATCCGAGCACATCAGGGCGGAGGCGGACTCAGCGGCGTGGTGTCCGTGCCGGACACGAGATGGAGGAAAGAGACGCGGCTGACAAGACGGGCCCACCTGTCGGCGAAAGAAGGCGCGGGACCGGCGGCTAGTGAGACAGACGAGAGAGAAGGGGTGTGGGCGGCTGCGCCGGTCCTTCGGCTGGGCCAGCTTGCTGGGCATGGGAGAGGGAAGGCCGAGCGGGGCGGCTGGGCCTACGGAGAACTGGGCCAACATCAGGCCCATGCGGGGACAGAGGGAGAGAGAGGAGTGGAAGCTCTAGCGGGCTGGGCTAGCAGGCCAAGCTAGAGAGGGGAAGGGGCTGCCCTTGGGCTAGCAGGCCGAATAGAGGGAGAGGGTAAATAAAACTTCTTTTTTTCTATTTTCTTAAATACCATTTCAACTCCAATTCAAACTCAAATTCAATTCTTTTGAAAATTCCAATCAAACCAAAACATCACAAGGAAAATATGCAGCAGCATGAATGCACATACTTGTTTGTAGACCTATATGTGATTTTTATTTTTAACAAAGTTATTATTTTTTGTCTAAATTCAATTGCTCACAAAAGGCATAATTAAATCATTTCTCCTATTTCAAAATCATGCAAAATTTAGGGTGTTACATTGCTTGAGGTGAGATCTAATCTATGAAATAGCTCTGAATACCATGTGAAAGTTTAGAGGCACAGATAGGAGAACACCATGCCTGGTCTTGGGTTCTTGGTGTGTGCGTGTTAATTTTGTAGCACATACATATATATTACTGGCTAACCTCCTTGAGATAGCCACAAGATGTTTGTTACACATAATATATCTATCAACAACTGACTCTATCATCTTGTGGTCTTATCATCTAATTAAGGTTGTTGCCCTGACACATACACACACGTATACAAGTTTATCCTTTAACACGGTCAGCTCTTTCGGGTGCTGCTTATTTGTTCTGCAAATGTGTATTTCTTGATTAGTGTTTGGTCTGTTGCTCAAGTACTTTGGATTGTGTTGTGCTTCAATTCTTGCTCGTTTTGCTTCAGCGATACTTTAAGCAATTCCTAATCATTCTGATCATCATCACAAGTTGGCTTGTGTGACCTTGACAATTCAAAGAGATGTTTGTTTGATTAAAATTAAGGTTTAGGCCAAATTCTTGCTGAGAATTTTTATCCGCTTCTATTCACCGCCTCTAGTGACAGTTTTGGACCTTGAATACATAACTCAAACATTAAAAAACACTCAAGAATCATCTCAAGTTTGATTTGGCTATACTCAACACCGATGCAGTTGGTCTAAAAACTTCCGTCTGCTGAAACCATCTACTTTCAGAGAGTTATTGAGATAAGGGTTGTTTCCCATCCTTTGATGGGAGGGGGTTGTTTTTTTGGGAATACAAAATTTGTTTTGCTCATTTGTGTGGAGATTGCCCTATGGTAGAGGCCATCAGAATTATAATCATGGATTAATTACTTTAGGTTATTGGATGGATCTAATACTTGCTCAAATGAACTAGAATGTCACTTGGCGTAATTTAAGTGATGGTAGAAAAAAAAGAGAATGGCATTTTGCCATATTTAGTAAGCTAAAAAACACTATTGAGTATCCACTTGCATCATCCTTAATCATATTTATAGCGATAACATTTTTTTCTTGTTGGACGATGTATTCTCCTTATACTGTACAATGCTTTTACTAGACAATCTTGTTTTTGAAATACCTCCAATAAACAAGTTGGGCTTTTGATTAACAAGCAAACAGGTCCTTCCTGGTCTTGGGCCGTTTGACGTGGTGTTGCCCATTCATGGGCTTGTTTGTTCATCCATTGCCTCTGCCACTGCAAAGTAGTTTGACTTGCCCAGATGATATACTAATACAAAATTAATTTAAGAGATATTCTCTCTGATTAAAAGATGCGGACACATCTTTGTACCGCGTTCGTAAATGGACAGGTGGACTTTAGGTAAATGTCCACCTTCATTGGTCATCGATTAAAGAGGCACCCGTGCCTTAGGACATCTATCTCTATAAATCAATTTTTAAAGACGGAAATCTTCACTATTAATAGAAGTGGTCATTTTAAGCATCTGTCTCTAAAAATAGTTGTATCTAAAAATAATTAATATTTTTTTCATATGAACTCGAAGGTAGACGATCCTTTTATTAAAATTGTAGCCCTCGACGCGATCTACAACTTTGTAGTTGAGAAGTTTTTATTTAAAATTGTTTAGATTTCCAAAAATGTTGTTTTAAGCTCTCAGATTTTTAAATTTTAAATTTTTAAGCAACCTCGGACGTTGCCATTGTAAGACGGTATATAGAAAAGTTGTAGTTATCAATACAATGTTCAATTATGTAGTCAAAATGTTTTTTATTTGAAGTTGTTTTAAAGTCTCAAGTACTTTTTTTAAGTTCTTACATTTAGAAAATTAAAAGTTATAATTTCCAAACCACCTTGAATGTTTACATGGTTAATACCAAAGTTGTAGTGATAGACCCAATCTACAAGTTTGCTCTAGATAGGTTTTTTATTTGAAGTTGTTTAGAGTCTTATATATTTGTTTTAAATTGACATAATTTGATATTCAAAATTTTGAAATTTTCAAACAATTTCGGATGGAGACAAATCCTATATCAAAGTTGTAGTGTTCGACATGATTTAAAACCTTATAGTTGAATTTTTTTTCATTTTAAATGTTTTAGGGAGCTAAATAAGCAATAGCAAAATGTGAAGGTAGTAATCATTGCCGCGCGGGAGAATAGCGCACGACAGGCAACAGCAAAACATTCCTTTTTTCATGGAGGTAGTAATCATTGCTGCGCGGGAGATATGGAAGATAAGAAATGATCAGTGGCCAAGTCCACGTCAATATTTGGTTTGCAAATTTCAAAAACCAATGTCTGCTTGAGTCGCTTGGTTTTAAGGATGATCTAAGATTAGCCTTTTGTTTTTGGCTACTTGCTTACAGTTAATTCCTGTTGTAAGTTTATATTGTTTACCCATAAAATTATAAAATGAAGTGCTGTGGGGATCTCCTCCACAGTTTTTGCCTTCAAAAAAAATGTTGATAAAAAAGGTAGTTGTCTACATATAATCACAAATGAGTGTGTAATCCAGCAGTAGAGAAGTATTTTCGGGTTTTCTCGAAACCTTTAACATGCAGGCATGAGGTGCCTGTCTCTATTAATTGATTTATAGACGTGGACATCCTTTGTGTAGTAATCCCTGTCTCGATTGTTTGCGTTGGGGTGTAGATGAACAAATCCAGATATTTGGCCAGAGAAAATTAGGAAAACGTGTATCGTCAAGAAAAAAAAACTAGAGAATCCTTTGAGAGTTACCGTGGGAACATTTGGAGAACTGTAAAAAACATCGGGTGAATAAAAGTAGACGTTAGTACTCAGTTGGGATCTAGGAGTAACAGTTTGATGAATACTAGTACAGCCCTGAACGACACCGTTGGCAGTCCAGTCCAGTAAATTACCAGTCCAAAGTCCAAACGTACTGACAATCTTACAAGCTCGGTAATAATGTATCCATGGAACGAGGATCAAGAAGATACTACCGTGCAAGGCGTGCACTACAGGTGAAGCGACGCGGTTCATTTGACTAGCAAGAAGAGATCACATGCATTGTTTTACATCGACAGGAATTGGATAATGATGTTGACCAGTCAGCAGCATTCAATAATATGTATCACAAAGAAAATGAGATTTTGAAAAATGACAGTTACCAGAAAACTAATTCGATCATATGTACACTATTGCTAAAGTTTCAGCTAAGTAAGAATGGACTCCTAGACTCTTGATGCACTACCTCTATCTCTTAATAAATCAACTTTTAGTGTTGTTTTAAGTTAAAATATTTTAATGTTTGACCTAATTTATAAGAAAAGACAAAAAAATATTTATGAGTCCAAATTAACGAGCACATTATAAAAATATATTTATGATGTATGCTATTTTCTATAAATTCTGTTAAACTTCAAAATCTTTAACTTATGATAATTCTAGGAATTAATTTATTTAGAGTTGAGGGAAGTATTCGTCTAATTTTGATCATGAACATTGGGAGCGCATAAATAAGGTGCCATCAATACCACTGATTCTGAACTTATTTTTGGTGGTGTTCGAGTGACATAGCGGCAATTATTCATGAGTTATATAAGTTCAACTGGAAGTTTAAGAAAAATATTGACAACCACGAAAAGTTACTGCCATGTCACAAGAAAACCAGCAGCTGGCTTTAGAAGAAGAAAAAAAGACAAATCAAATAATGGCTGATGACAGAATTTGCATTTAATACCATAACATTACGAAGCATTAGTCAAGCAAGAATAAAACGACATTTCTCGTAGGTCTTATCCTGACTCTGCTGAAAACAGAAGGGACTGATTTGTGACTCAAGCAGCAAAACTCTTTCAGAAGAGAACTCGAAGGCAAGCTTGACTTTTGTATACCTAACATTTAATTCTTCCCTAGTTCTTGTGTTCCAAGGAACTGTTAATATAACTACTTGAAGACCTAAAACTAGATTTCCATGAAACATCATTTCCAAACTGAGAGAACACAGGTGTATCATGGCAAACCGTCACATTGGCAGCCTTCTGCAATATAACCGGCAAATTTGACGGAAGCCAGCTTTCACTCCCTACTCCATGCTCATAAGAATCCGCCTTTCCAGAATTGGTGACTGGTAAATCTTGGGAGAGATAATACAAGTTCCCACGACCACCGTAGCGCTCAGACGTTGTGTCATCCTCAACGCCATAGCCACTGGCTGCAAGATTGCCGTCCACTAGTGTGGCAACCGGCATGGCATAGCCAAACCCCATGGTTCCGTGGTAACCAATGCCCCTATCATACAACAATGAATTGGTGTCAACTGACAAGGATGGAACATCAACCGCACCTGCCACATCCTGGACTTGCGATGGCTGGAAAAAATTGTGGGTTCCAGCGGAGGCAGGTATGTGCTGAAGCTAGTGCAGATTGTGTGCTGCCGAAACAACCATGGCAGCGGAGGCACCATCCAGCTCTTCCTTGCACCACAGCTTGGAGTGGCCACGGCCTTTGCTATATTGCAAGGAAATTGGCACCATGGCAGCCGGCGACCAGCCACTGTAACCACAGTGCTCGGGACCAGAGCTGCCAATGCCATCAGTGAGCTGGTTTGTAGCAGTCATCGGTCCGGCAACCTCAGCACAATTGCCGTTCACATCTATGTCAGATTGATCGGTTCCATCCTTTGGACGCTTCGTGGTGCTGCCAACTGGCAGGGAGCTGCTCTCGATAATGCTCTTGACGTCGTACCGGCTCATGTCAAAGTTTGTGACGGCATTGAGGCCTCTGAATTTGATTGCAGCGATGTCATAAGCCTCAGCGGCTTCTTCCTGGGTACCTACATATAGGTCAGCCACATGACATGTGGTATTATATATTCATATTCAAGAGGGAAATTGAAGAATTCAAAAGGCTTTCCGCCAGCATTAGCCTTAGGCTTTTTGTTCTTGCTTCCATTTCCCATGGCAAAAAGGAGAGCAGTACATTAAAATATTAGTTGCGACTTACTGAATGTGCCTAAATACAGATCCTTGTTTCCTGCAACTCTTCCTATTCTTGCTTGCCACCTTCCATGCTGGTGGTGCCTGTTTCACAAGTACACTTGACAGTCAGAAACGCAATTGCATGTCTACTTGTCAAGGACAGAAGAAGGTCAAAGTTAACAGTACGTGGTAAACGAAGTACTACATCTATTGAGGATAGAACAAATACAGATAAATGCAAATTCAAATAAGGGTCCAAATACACACTACTGAAAACTCGAATATTTCTGTGGGTGATGAATTTTTCTGTGCGTTTTTCTCTATACACACAAAAAATTAATAATTAAGGTGTGAGTTTCAAAAATCCCGACAGAAATATTCGAAAGCCCACACGTGTAAATACACACAGAAAAATTACTATTATTCTGTCGGTCTTTTCAAAACTTACAGAAAAATTATATACACACACAGAAAAACTATATATACGGAAAAAAACACACACACACAAGTCGCTGATTTATGGTCCATGACTTGTCTCCTCCGGTGGAAAGATAGCAGTAACGCGTAAATGGGAGCCGCGTCTGACGGACCTGAAAAAATGATTGATTTCAGTTGATCGACAACTTGAGTCCGGAATCGAGCCCGTCACCTCCCTTGGTCTCGCATCCGTCTCTCTCTCTCTCTCCACCTCGCTTCTCCCCTTCATCTCTCTCCTCAAGCGAATAGTCTCCCCTGCCCTCGACCTACGTTGCCCTGCCCTGGTCACCGCCGGTGCGCTCCATGATGCCGACGCCACTCGTGTCGCCTGTAGCTCCACGTCGATGCCTGATTCATTAGGGTTTTGCCTCCCTCTGGATCTGGCTGTGGCACCACTTCCCTCCTCCAGATCTAGCCAGAGCCGCCTCCTCCCTTACCTCGGTGCAGATCCATGGTGGCCGTGGTTAGATCAAGAGGCCGCGCATGAGGTGGAGTCGCAAGGACCGTGACGGTCCCCTCCCTCACCCATGCCGTTTGCGACTGGCAGAGACTGGAGCCACCGGAAGCCTGCTCATCCATGGAGTCATCCCTAGTAGCTGCGGCAGAGTGGCCGTCGGAGGCACCGACGTGAGCTCCTTCACCACCAAGAGCCTCAACTACATCGGCGTGCCCGAGAATCACGTCACCTCTCAAGCTCTGCCCACGCCTAGTGAGAAGCAAGCAGGTATGTCTTCGATTCCTTCGTAGCTCTCCCTCCATCTGAAGTATTGCCTTGCTCGGGCTTCCTTTTCAGTTTGCCCACCACTGTTGGGAGGAACGTCCCTTTGGATCTGTGTGGAATACATGTGTGGCTATGGCAATGGATTCCATAGATATGCACGACACAAAGAAAATTAAACTGTGTTCAGTACTATAATGTATGACTCTAAATCTGTTAAACAATTTGCTAATTTGATCTGTTATGAAGTCTGAACTTTCAAGGAATTTAGTGATTGGCAAGCTTGTGTCCCACGTATGTTATCTTGGTTGACTTAAAAGCAGTGTGAATAATGGTTTGGATATGCGTGAAGTGTTCTCACATCCTGATCCTGCATCATTTCATTATTTTATTCGATTTGTTATGGATGTGCTTGTCTGGGTAAGAAGAATGCGTCTTCTCATGCCTAGCTCAACACAGATAACTATATTATTAAAATGTGAATATGCTGTCTGAGGGAAGATTGTCATCCATGCTCAGGTATCTTGAGTGACTACTTCCATGTTCAGTATCTTGAGTGACTAATAATGTTCGACAAGGCTTGAGTGACTACTTCCATGTTCATCATGTTTTGTTCAGAGGTCATGACCTGTTTTTTTCTTCTTATTATTATTTTGAGATATCATCACTACTTTGTGCTAGTATATAACTGATATGTTCCTTTGCACTGCCTTACTTTCTCGAGCCTTCTCGTGCTGATTATTTGTTGAAGGCAATGCTTAATTCAATATATTTGTAAAAGCTGGGTCCTTTAGATGGTGCTTTTGTTGTAACATAGGAGTAATTGTTGTTTATCCTCTTTTTTCAAGAAATAAACCCCATCTCAATAAGATCCATTTGTTTCTTAATTTCCAGGCTGAAAGTGCTACTGCTGCGCTCAACTGCAGTGGTGTGATACTGGGATCCTTGCCAATAAGGTAAAACTCTAATCTTTTGACGCTTTGCAGTGATATAGAGGAGCTGGGAGTTATTTCTCACCAGGTATGCGCCCACCCCTTTGTTCTCCCTTCGACAATTATTGTCTAGTAACAATTATTTCTCAATCTATCTTGGGTTAGCGTTTCACATTACTTAATTCTCTGTTGTACTGAAATGCTATGTATGTGTAGTCATTTCCATTGTCACAAGACCGCTACTGAACTGTACCTGCATCTATTTTGGTCTACAGATTTTTTAGACATCTTTCTCATATAAGAAAACTTGCCCATTCTACCATGTTAGCTTTCTGTTATTGCATTCATGTGACAAACCACTCAAGATTACTCAACTTCTCACACGGAATATTATGGGTTCAACTTATAAAAGAATGTTCTTCTCCTCTATTGTTAGTTCAAACCGTTGTCTCTTTCCATTGAGCAATACCTTGTGAGTTCTCAGCAGGCACAACATTCCAGCCATCCCAAGAATCTGATTGCTTAGCATCTGAATTGCCCACTGGTGTTGCAGCCAGATTACCCCAGGAGTCTTCTGCGACAGATTACTCCATGTGTCTGATTCTTTTGGGACTTTCAGATGCTCATCAGACTCCATCTTATCTTTCTCACCCCAACTGGATCCTGCATTAGACTTGGCATTTGGTCTTCCAATTCCATCTCCAGCATTCAAAGCAAAGCCTCCCCGATCTGTGGAATTGTCCGGCACCTTAGCATGCACTTCCCATGAATTATCTTGATCTGCTAGCTTTGCAGCAGCTCCAACTCCACTACCCCAGCCTCCCCAGTCACCAGAATCATTCGTAGCACTAGCATTTTGTTCCCAACTTGAGTTCATTGTTGTGCCATTTTCCCATGAGCTGCCTTTCTGAATATTTTGCTCTACAACTTAAGTATTATACAACACCTCAGAATATCTAATTAACCCAATCAAACTAGAATAGACACTGATCCTAAACAAGGCAAGATCTACCAATTCCGTGTGTTTTTTACCCAAGAGGTTGCATCTGATTCAACCCAGATAACTTTTGCTCACCCTTTCTAGTTTCTTTAGTTCTTTACTCTGATTTGGCAAATAGATGCATGTCAGTCAGAGCTTTTCCTGGAGCTGCAGCTCTGAAGATGATTCAATTGGTGCGTGTGAAAAATCTGTTGTTCTGAAACAAAGTACCAGTTCAAGATGTCATAGTCGGTCCTCGAAGGATTTACGGAGCCTTTACGCAAAGGTCAGAAATACTTAATGCTAATTTCGCAATGATCACTGAATCTGCAGTTTTTGTTTTCTGATGGCTTAGTCATACTATATAACAGAGGAGAAGAGAGAGGATCAATGAAAGACTAAGCACGCTGCAGCAGCTAATTCCTAATGGCACCAAAGTAAGTTCTTTTCTTTTGTATTTAGTGATCAACTTTTTTGCTATCAAATTGTGTTTTCAAAGGCCCAACAATTTGCGCAAACTTTTGTGTGAACACTGAAGATAAGTTGTTCTCTTGCCTTTGCAGGTTGACATGAGCACTATGCTGGAGGAAGCAGTTCAGTATGTCAAGTTCCTGCAGCTGCAAATAAAGGTAGTTTTTTTGTGTCCTAGTTAAGTCAGATCAACATTGGAAAAAACTTTAGTTCACAATTCTAGTTCTCCATCATGCGCAACATTAACCTGTACAGAGCATTGTTACATATTAGGTTTGGGAGAACAGAGCATTGTATACTCTGCATTTAAAAATACTAATTCGATGCGCAGGAGCATGCCTCTCATTTACCTTCCCTTTTTTTCCGTAACAGCTCCTGAGCTCTGAAGATACATGGATGTACGCACCTCTTGCCTATAACCACATGAGCATGGACCTCAGTCCAAATGTTGGTGTGAAGCAATCATGATCGTCCGAAAAGAGTTGTCTGAACTGATCAGATGGGAGCTAGAACATAGTGCATGGTTCATCTTTTCATAAATCTGTAATTAGCCCTGACTTTACATTCTTCAGTTGCTTCTTGCAAGTATGAGCAAGAAGTTCTTTTGAAATAAAAATTGGACCATGGGTTCCCTTGTCATATGAGATGTCGACAATTCACGGAAATGGGAATTTTTCTAGGGTGCATTAATGAATGTGCTGAATATTTGGATCTTTATATATATGCTATCTATTATGTTGTGATGAAATTACAGTATGGACAGTCCATATTTAATATGTTGTTGCTATTGTTCTGTTTCTATATAATTATTGTATCCAATTTGCTGCATGGCTAAGGGTTTTTTACATTGGTGGTGGTCTCATTATTTTTCCGTACATGCTTAACCGAGACCGACACAACATTTAAATTTAATCTGGGCTAACGCAATTTTTCTGTGCGTGTAACACCTACAGAAAAATTATTTTTCTATCGGGCTTTTCTTTTTTTTCTGTGAGGATCAACGCACACAACATTTAAATTTAATCTGGGCTAACGTAATTTTTCTGTGCGTGTAACACCCACAGAAAAATTGTTTCTAACGGCGAACACACAGAACAATTTAATTTTTCTGTCATTATATTTCTGTGGGTATTTTTCTGAGTGTACACCGTAAGAAAAATATTTTTCTGAAATGTGTTCATCAATGACGATTCACTCGTGACGATTACTAATTTTGTCACAGAATGAGAGCATTCTATGACGAAATGTGCAGGTTCGTCATTAGTCACAAGTGACGGAGCTTTGGCACGAAGAATAATGACAAAAACGAAATAATCGTCATACAATAACAAAACTAAATCGTCATTGATTGTTTGGCTCGTGTACCACCTCGAGGACATGGGTCCAAATTTGGACCTGCAGCCTTCCCCTCCATTTTTTTTTTTTAAAAAATAGCTCACCGAGTGAGCTTCAACCCGCAACCTCTTTGCTAGGTTGATAGGTGCCTTACCACCGGAGCACTCGGCCTTTTGTGATAAAAATATGCATATTTTTTTATTTGTAAACTCCATGGTAATTGAATCATAGATGATGACATGGCGCCGTGGTCCCACTAGCGGGTCCCACAATGAGGACGTGGCGGAGCGGTCCCACCATCGGGTCCCACGTCGATGACGTGGCGATGCGGTACCACCAGCGGGCGTGGCGGCGAACACGTGGCGCTGCGGGCCCAGGGTCCAGCTCCACCAGCCGCCTGCCCTCCCTTTTTAATTTTTGCAAAAATAATCCCCGCAGGGAATCGAACCCGCGACCGCCGCTAGATGTGGAGGAGGCGCATCACCGGAACTCCCGGCCTTTTGTGTTTATGGCTAGCTGCTTTTTGTATTTGTACTTAGAACAAGATATCATGTTTTTTTTTGTTTTGTCGATCGAGTTGATGGGCCATACGCGCGCGGGCCGGCCGGTCGGTCGCGAGACGCGTCCCATACGCGCGTGCATAGGTATCGTGGGCGCCGCCGTAGTTCTTCTCCTCTGGGAGGCCGCATCTGATCTGGCGATCTCGTGAGCCGTCGCCGTCGTCGGCCGCGAGTACCAATCTAGCGATCTCCATCTCCTTCTCCTCTGCGTCACGCCGACACCGTCGTTGTCGATCTGCGCACGTGGGGCCGGAGCAAAGAGCTGACAATGACGAGAGTCAAGCTGCGTGGAGCGCGAAAGCGCGAAGGATTGCCGAGTACAAGGTTTGATTTGTTTATCAATTTGTTTTACATATATGCATGTCTTTGATGTGTTTTTGAATTTTGTTGAATTTATTATTTGGAATTTAAGGACCGAGTACAATGTACGATGGATAGAAGTTGGATTTTTGGGACACAATTCACACCGCATATGTGAAAGGAGTTGAAGAGTTCATGAAATTTGTCGCTGAAAGATACCCCAAGACAAACCACGTACTTTGTCCGTGCAAAGAAATGTCTTAATCAAACTCTGCGGTCTCGTGGATGATGTAAGTGACCATATACACATTTATGGGATGTCACTACATACACCGTGTGGATTCATCATGGGGAGTCGGCAGACATCTTGTAGTAGTTGATAATTTAGAGCAAATGGAGGTCGAAGGAAGTGATCATGACTTTGGGATACATGTGGATGTGGTCGACGATGATTATGATGAGGATCACGGAGTACCGTAGATGATAGGAGATCTCAGATGTCATGCGGCAGAGGGTGATGGAGAACAACCAAGGTTTGCAAGAGTCCTTGAAGATGCAAAGAAGTCACTTAGCCCGGATCTAGCCATTCAAATTCTCTTTTTTCCGAGGATGTTGTATATCAAGTCTCGTTATCAAATTGGCAATACAGGATTTTCCATAATGATGAAGTCATTGTCATCGATTCCCTCGAGTGAGTTGCCAAAATCATATGATGAGGCCAAGAAATATCTTGGAGAATTGGGCCTTGGTTACGAAAACATCCATGTGTGCAAGAACAATTGTGTGTTGTTTCGGAAGAGGTATGAAAAAGAGAATGTGTGCCCAGTATGCAAGACGTCTAGATGGCAAGATGAAACTGGGAACAAGAAGGTTCCACACAAGGTATTGAGGCATTTTCCACTTTTGCCAAGGTTGAAAAGAATTTTTGCTTCAAAGCGAACTTCTGAGGAAACACAATGGCACAAGAAAAAGAGGACGCCAGTCGACAATGTAATGAGTCATCCAGCTGATGGAGAAGCATGGAAGGACTTCGACACGAGGGAACCATCCTTTGCAGATGATCCGAGGAACCTGAGGCTTGCCTTAGCTACCGATGGATTCAATCCATTTGGCAACATGAGTACGCAGTACAGTATGTGGCCAGTGCTTCTGACACCACTAAATCTCCCACCATGGGAATGCGTGAATCCAGCAAACTGCTTTATGTCTTTACTCATCCCAGGTCCAAAATCTCTAGGAAAGGATTTTGATTTGTTCCTTGAGCCCCTAATTGAAGAACTGCTCGATCTATGGAAGGGTGTCAGTACCTACGATGCATGCACTGGTCGGAAGTTTAACCTTCATGCTGCCATGTTGTGGTGTATACATGATTTTCCAGCGTTGAGCACGTTATCAGGGCGAACAACAAAAGGGTATTATGCATGTATTCATTGTGATAAGGATCCATTGTCTCGGGTAATAAGGAATAAGATATGTTACATTGGACATTGTCGTTACCTTCCAAGGACACATGCATGGTGGAGAAGCTTGGCTTTCGATGGTAAGCGTGAAAACAAAGAGCAACCAGGCAAGTTCACTTTGGAGGAGGTCCTAGAGGAGCTAGAGAAGGTGAAAGATGTCAGGCCAGGGAAGCATCATGAAATTATTGGAAATAAAAGGAAGCGCAATGAGGGTCCAAAGATTTATAGCCGCAAAGTTGGGTTGTGGAGATTGCCATATTGGAAACATTTAAAGCTTCCACATAATCTCGATGTCATGCACATAGAGAAAAACATATGTGAAAACATTCTTGGCACATTACTCAATGTACAGGGCAAGACCAAGGACACAACCAATGCTAGGCTAGATTTGCATGATATGGGCATAAGACCTGAATTGCACTTACAGCAGCATGGCAACTCAGTCATTGCTCCACCTGCTCCATATGTCTTGGGGAAGGATCAGAAAACCGAGTTATGCAAGTTTCTCAAAGGTATCAAGTTTCCTGATGGATATGCGGCTAACCTAGCAAGATACATAAGTGAAGATGGTTCAAAGGTGCAGGGAAAGCTTAAAACACATTCTTGCCACATACTCTTGGAAAGAATCATACCTGCTGGCCTAAGAGGACTGGTGAGGAAGGATGTATATGAAGCAGTTGCAGAGCTCGGGACCTTCTTCAGGGAACTATGCAGTAGAAATCTAAGGATTGATGTTGTCAAATGGCTAAAAGAAGAAATTCCATTGATCCTATGCAAGCTTGAGAAAATCTTTCCACCTGCCTTCTTTGATGTCATGGTGCACTTGGCCGTCCATCTTCCTGATGAGGCATTGCTTAGAGGACCTGTTCAGTACGGATGGATGTACCCAATAGAAAGGCGGCTAGGCACTTTGAAGAATTTTGTAAGGAATAGGGCGAGGCCGGAAGGATCAATTACTGAGGCATATATGGCAAGTGACACATTGACTTTTTGTTCTAGGTATATGGAGGATATTGACAATAGATTTAACCATCACGATGATAATGATGGAGAGATACCATTGCCTGATGACGTCTCTGTTTTTAAGCATGGTGTTACTCTTGTTGGATCTAATAGGAGCCAGTACATTGATGATGATGTCCTCAATAAGTTAGTTTGGTATGTGCTAAATAATTGTGAAGAAGCTGAGGAATATTTGGAGTAAGTATCTATTATATGTTTTGGGGATTAGTTTTTGTTTAATTTCTAAATTTTCAAATTATTCTTATGACTTAGCTTTGCCATGCAGCTTGTACAGGGATGATCTTGTGCAGCAAGGTGCGCTTGATGTTGATAAAATGGTTGAACAAGGATTTGCAAAGTGGTTTAGGTGCCATGTAAGTCAGTACACATTGTGTTTCTAGGTTTAGTAAATGCATTAGTATCCATATGTAATTGGTTAATCGAGTACTTTTGTTGCAAATGTATTGAGAACAAATATAAGGAGCATCCGAATCGGTTAGCGAAGGACCGTGGGCACCGCATGTGGCCCAGATCTGCGAAGTTAAGACTTGTGCATCTTGCATAGTTAATGGAGTGCGGTATAGCACTGTGGATCGTGAGAAGTTCTTTCTGACACAAAATAGTGGTGTAATGACTGAAGGTTCACATGATGGGAACGGCATAGATTTTTATGGAGTCCTTAAAGAGGTAATTGAGTTGCAATATAACTCAAATCTTCAAGTCCGTCTTGACGGTGGTTCTATTTCGATGCGATTGGTTCAAGCAAGAAGGCAAGACGACGAGCCTTCGAGATGACGGACATTTCAAATCC